ATGGGGCCTCAAAATCAAAAATCCCCCCCCCCCCCCACACCTCCCACAAAATTACCCATAGCTTTCGTTTGGTCAGTGGCATTGCATTGTCCCCATAGGCTGTGGCTCTGTGTAATCGCTGAATGGTCCGCTACACAGAGGAATCTCTGAAAGGCCGTTTGCCTTTTCGGCTTTGTTTGGAGTACCCCTGACCACCCCGAAGAAAAGACTAGGTTTTGAGCACATTTGTTTGTGCACATATCAGTGGATAGGACAGCTGTGTCTGTTCAATGGGCCTGATCTACCGTGGATGTTGTTCATTTGTCTGAGGAATCATATCCCTAGAAAATGTAATGGAAACCAGCATGGCTAGCATAAATATACTGATGTTGACATTTAATATAGGAAGTTTAGGGTATCTTTCGACACCAATATTTTGCCAGGTTTACCAGCACAAATTATGAGCTCACTTACAGGGGAAAAAAAAACTGCAACTGTAAACTCGTAAGTACCAGTATATTGCATTTCCTATGCTGATGTGTTTATTGTCATTGTCTCTTTTAAGAGAATTAGTACCCTATTACTAATTCCAAAAAAATTTAAATAAAAGACCACATAAACCCACCCCAAAAGACAAGTTTTGAGTCCAGCGTCCAGTCTTTTGTGAGAGAAGGGGTTAAAGGTTTTGGTCATCTGTAGGCGTGGAGTTGGAGGATGGGCCCCCTTCGCCGCTCGCCTTCTGTCCAGAGGTCCTGGGGCTCAGAGGTCAGCAGAGAAGGACTTTGTGATGTCACATGGCTGCTGTGACTGGGCTGGCCTGCTGCGTTCGCTCCCAGGACACGATCCCTTTCACTGGATTGACCCCTGCGTTGCCCTGTCAGGCAGAGGCCTTTTGTTCAATGTGGGACACTTTCTCTTTTGAATGAACATGCCCAAATACCACCGTGAGCGATGATGGCCTTCTAAAACCATTCAGGGAGGCTTTTTGCTCGCGGTCGTCCAACCTGATCAACATTTTCATCATAATTCCTGGTAGAACACAGGCTGTCAGAATGTTAATATGTCCACCTTTTATGTTCTACCAAATGATATAAGATGGAAGGAAGATAAGAAACGCAGGATAACCTTTTAGATACAAATTAATTATGCCATGGGGTTCAGTCCTGCTTGTAGGCTTGGATTTGATTCAACAGACATGGGGTTGAATTTAGCTTTGACCTCTTAAGAGAAACCTTTGTGCTTTTTGACCTAGACATTGATTTTCTTCTTTCAGCAGACCATATTAGCAGATTAGCATTCACTGCCCCCTCCCAGTTTCTGCTAAATTTGATAACATATTTGTAACACAACTTTTTGCCAATTGTTTTAAACCTCGGGTCGCTGTAATTAAAGGCACTAGTTTTTAAGAACAAAAAACACATTGTAAAAGCACTCAGGCCCAATTAAGGTGATCCACCACATATATGTCTTAAAACGTGCCCGTCTTTCTATGTGCATGATAGATGAGATTAGGTTGAAAAATGACAGGGTTCCTCTTAAATTTGGTGTTCCGAAAACTTTTGATTTCAATGTGGAGTTTCAGTGGGGATAAAGGGGGATTGATTTTCTTTAACATGATATTGACTTATTTCTTGTGTGCAGGGGGGCAAGGGTAAGAGTTATCACCTTAATGAGTTAAGGTCATTGGTGATATTTTAAAGAGGGCCCTTCACATTAATGCAGATTAGGAGTTGTGTGTTTGTTAGAGTTTATGGAAAGGCCTCACGTGGAATGTATTGACCACACAATGAAAATTTGGCCTAACCCTATCAAAAAAATCCCACATTTACACAAAATATTTCTGTACTTCAATATTTTATGGAGAATCTTAGCTGACTAAAAGACTCACGTTATCTCTTTTAGTGTATTGTAATGAATCAATAGTTTTTTTCAGGTGCAACTACGGGTGATCAGTTTTAATCACAGCAAAGCAACTTCTAGTGTCATTCTTCTATTGATCCTGGTCAGCAAATCAACTCAGAGCTCATCTGTGCAAAAGCAAAATCGGGATGTCATTTAATTACAGGGTCACGATGATGAGTTGCTCACCCAGAAACAATTGTTATTCATCAGCGCTTTGCATGTTCTGCCTAATACAAATGTACATCGCACTTTCTTGTGTGTGTGTGTTAATTTGTCTTTTCTATTTCTATTCAGGTATTTCAGAGTTTTTGTTACAGCCATTGCCTATGGAGGTGACCGCGGGCTCGGTGGCCCGATTCTCATGTGCAGTCACATCCAGACCCCCTGCCACCATCACCTGGGAGTTTAACCAAAGCACACTGCCACTACAAACAGACCGGTACTTACAATTGACCTTGAGTCATTTCACATGCAGTCATGTTACTTTGAAAAGTATTAGAGCACTTGGCCGTTATGCATACATCACAGTGTATTAAACTCTGTTCTGTCCCCCTCGTTTGACCCATGTGCTAATTTGTTTATGTGCAGAATTACAGTTTTGCCCAATGGAGTCCTTCAGATCCACAACGTACAACTGAAGGATACCGGGCAGTACCGATGTGTTGCAACTAACATCGGAAGCCGACAGAAAAGTCAAGAGGCAAAGCTGACAGTCAGTCAAGGTGAAGAGACTAGTGTACACTAACTTGGTTTAATCATTTTTAATGGCCGATGTGTTTAAAAAAAAAATTCCTTCTTTTATTAGAAGGTGTGGGCCCTAAAACCCGCCAGAGGCCCAAAATCATCGCCGGACCTCAGAACTTGACTGTTTGTCTGCACCAAACCGTGGTGCTAGAGTGCTTAGCCACCGGAAACCCCTGGCCCATCATTTCATGGAGCCGCGCTGATAGTAAACCCATTGATGTATACAAAGCCAAAGTGTTGGGCAATGGGAACCTGGTTATAACCGACGTCAATTCGAAGCACAGTGGAGTCTACCTCTGCAGAGCCACCACCCCTGGAACCCGCAATTACACCATAGCTGCTGCCAACCTCACTGTCCAAGGTATACTCAATTATATTGCAATCTTGTGTTTTGGCTTGCTGTGTAAAAATAAGATGCAAGATATTTGTGGAACCTAACCCATTTCTTGTCAATCACTGTTTCAGTGCCGCCAGCTATTGTTGAGAGGCCCGAGAGCCAGACCCGCCCGAGAGCCGGCACTGCCCGGTTTATTTGCCAAGCCGAAGGCGTCCCCCCACCCCGCATTAGCTGGCTAAAGAATGGCGAAGAGGTTCATTTAAATGGGCGAATTAAGATGTACAACAGGTATTACAAACAGATTTATTACACAAATTGACTCAAGGGTTTCAGCCTTGTATTGATTGTGTTTTTTTTTTTTTCTCCACAGTAAATTGGTGATTACCCAGATCATCCCAGAGGACGATGCCATCTATCAGTGCATAGCAGAGAGCGAACAAGGTTCTGTGCTGTCTTTAGCTCGCCTTATTGTTGTTATGTCAGAGGACAGGCCCAGCGCTCCCAGGAACATTCACGCCGAGACCATCTCAAGCTCGGCCATTTTGCTGGCGTGGGAGAGACCGCTCTACAATGCCGACAGAGTCATCGCCTACTCTATCCATTATATGAAGGCCGAAGGTGAGACCGCCAAGACTGTAAAGATGTGTGCTTCTCTATCTGAGAAAAATGCTCAAGTTGATGAGTGCCTTATGTGAGTCGCTGTCCTTGGCAAGCCGCTGTTTTGTTGCTATTCAGAGAGGAGGTAATGGAAATATAGTACTCCATTGAAATGGTTACTTTACTTAATAGGCTTAGAAACCCACTGTGGAATAAACATCTCTCATATGTACTGAAAAGTATTGGATAGCTTTTAGAATCTTATGTACAGTAACTGTATGGTAGTCGCACTTTTCTTGTGCAGTATACATGTTCTCACAGGCCACTCTATTGGTCACACTGGCAAAATCTGATGAGTTGTAAAGAGTAATTGAAAGATTCTGCCTTTATAAAAAAATAGTAAATCGGTTCATTCTTGTGATTGTCGTTTGCTGTTGTGTAGAACTGTACTGCATCGTTATTTCTGAGTATAATAGTTAACATATCGAGGTACTTAAAAGGCAATCGTTACCAGAAAGACCCATGACAATAGTAAATATGATGTCAAACCATTACAATTTTGTGATCGTTTGACAAAAGAATCACCTTCAGACTTTTTTTTTTTAAAGCATCAAACTTTTAGTGTTTATTTTTCTTGCAATTGACAAACCAAAACTGCTCTCCGATTCACTGCTTGTCAGGTCTGAACAACGAAGAATACCAAGTTGTGATCGGCAACGACACAACCAGCTACATTATCGATGACCTTGAGCCGGCTAGGAATTACAGCTTCTACATCGTGGCTTACATGCCAATGGGAGCCAGTCGTATGTCTGATCAAGTCAGTCAACACACCCTGGAGGATGGTGAGCTTTGAAACTCCCAGCATTCCTTGCAATCAATCACTTTGACAGTTGAGTTAAGGTGAATGTAAATCCTGTGTCTCCAGAGCACCTTTAGCGTGGCAATAAGGAACGGGGATTTTGTCATTTACCAATTGCTAGTTTTACTCTTCAAACGTGCATTTTGTATTCGTAGGAAATACAAATGGGACTGTTTATAGTCAGACCAGTATGTTCATACAGTTCCATACTATTTTTCAGTGCCTCTGCGTACACCAGAACTACGTTTGATGAGCCACAACTCAACAGATATCCAGGTGAGCTGGCAGCAGCTTCCCTCGAAAGTGAGCCGCGGCCGTGTGTCGGCGTACAGGCTGTCGTATCGCACGGCTGCAGACAGCACAGTCATCTCTGTTGAGCTGCCTCAGAACAGCACCGAGTATCTCCTGGAAGGCCTCCAGCCAGACACCATCTACCTGCTCCGCATGGCTGCAGCCACCCGCATGGGTTGGTGTGAGCCCTCAGCGTGGACATCCCACCGCACACCGAAGACTTCCAGTCTCAAAGGTAAATAAGCAGGAGATGAGGGGGGAAAAAAACAAAGTTATGGTTTAGTTCTGCACCTGTTGCATACATCTTAGAGCTTCATAGAGCATTTGTGAAGTTAGTTGTTCATGATCGTTTCGGTCCTCGACAGAGCTTGCCGATGAGCTGATCATTTGAACCAGGTGTGTTGCAGTCGAGAGAGATCTGAAACAGGCAGGGTATCGCTCTCGAGGAACCGGAGTTTCCCTACCCCTGAGTTCGAGGTTACTTATTTTGGAGAGGAATCTCACAGTCTCTTTTCCTGTTCATCCAAAAGGTGTTTGATGGGGGTTGAGGTCAAGGGTCTCAAGTCTTTCCACAGCAAACTCATCCAAGCACATCTTTGTGGAGCTCCCTCTGACTCATGCTGCAACAGAAAAGGGCCTTCCTCAAACGTTTCCCACAAAGTTACATTGTCTTGGAAGATGCTCCCTAATTGAATTAGAAATGCAGTTAAGAGAAATTCTGTGTCACTACTTTATGTGATGTTTTGTTAGCACGTTAAGGTTTCCTTGCATGGCGTACTGAGCAAAAGAACAAAACAATCCCATCTCTACTTTTTGGGGGTCCTTCTTGAGGGCCATCTTAGGTCTAGAGTTTGTTCTTGTAGCATTGTCCTGTAGCTTTTGTGTTGGTTACTCGGGAACCTTTGCCCTGCGCTGTCAGTGGTGTAAGCGCGGCCTCAGTCACGGGTCATAAAGAGAGGCCCTCAGGCGTCTGTGTTGGGGGGGGAAGAATAGCCTCTTTTCACATCCTGGTGTCTTCTGCCCTGCTTGGTTTTTCCATTATGGCCGATACACGTTTGTGTTGATGAACTGCCCAACAATGCGACATGAAGCCACTTTCCTCTCATATTTTTAAAAGTAGTTCGTGATAATGCTGCATTGCAGCCGTCTCCTGCACTCCATCCTGTTCCTTTGATGTGTGGTTCAAAGCATTAGTATTGTTTGTGGTCTTCCAGTCGTGAATTTGTATTGATCTCATGGCTTCCCTCTGTGCCCTGTCAGTGCCCTCAGCCCCTATTCTCCAACTTGAGCCGCTGAACTGCACTTCCATTGTGGCGCGCTGGCAAGCCGCCCCAGAGATAGAGGCCGTCCTTGGCTATCGCCTGCGTTACCATGAGGAAAGCCAACCAGAACAGCCCGTCATCCAGCTGCAGGCTCAGACCTACACCTACATCATAAGCGGCCTTGGTAAGAGCGGACGACGATGCTGATGATAACATTAGCATACGTCTGGTGTGTGCTTTATCCACCCTCAGTGGGCCGTTGGGTGCCGCATTTGCATTCGCACCCGCAACACAGATCAATAGTGAGCTGACCGCTCCAGTTTGCTTGCAGTATTGAGTGGGATCAGGCTCCCAGGTTAGAGGTCAGTGTCCAGATGTCCCTCCCACCACCGTTTCCCATCCACTGACTTGCATAATTACCCCTGGCTATTGTGTTGAGCTCAGGGCCAGACCTGCCTTACCAGATTTTAACCGCCTCCCCCTTTTAGCTGGACTGCGATACACACACACAACAGACCCCTGGGATTGGTCAGAACTGGACAGGACCACTGACCTTTAGCCATGAGACAGCAGTCTTGGATTAGTACCCTGCCCCCACGGCTTTTTCGTGCTGTCCATGTAAAAAAAAAACCTCCAATAATCAATATGAAACCAAGCTGAGTAATACTGATTAAAGTATAATTCAGCTTTCTGTGAATCACCAAGCAAAGCTGTGCAATTCCTCTTTTCATTTTATATGCTGAAATGGAAAAGACTGATATTTATCCCCTTCTTAAATGGAAACAGGCTAGAACTCTAACTGATGTGCACAACTCTTGCTTTTGAGCCACGCTTGCTCCAAGTTGAAGACTACAACAAGGAAGAGTATGAGAGGGGAAACAAAAGGGGCCCCTCTCCCATCCTAAAGTCCTGCGCCCAGATTCCGTCTGTTCTATCTTGGCCTGACCCGGTGACCCGAGTCACCCCCACCCCCGGTCCCATGGGGCTCGGCTCCCAGCAGCTGAAGGCTACCCTGTGGCCCAGCCCCCACAACAGACCTGGACACCCGCCTTCCATGGTCAATACCCATAAGCTGACCTTTCACACTAGAAGGCATAAAACTAATCTTAACACATGCTAAAATGTCCTGATTTAGGAGCCCAGGCAACGGTAGCTGTCTAGGTTAAAAACATATAAAAGACTCTGATCTTTTTGGCGTCTGGAAATGTGTACTTTTAATTCCAAAGGATCATGCAACAATGTTTAATTGTACATGTTGGATTTGAATAATTGGATTTTTAGTTTTTAATTTTATATTTAGAATTGTAGGCAAGTTTGACTCTTGATCATACAAACATATTTTAAGGGGTTGGTTGATCTTTCTCATGCTCTTGTTAGATGGCAACGAATAACACTGGGGAACAATTTGAAAAAAAATTCTGTCGAGTTCGAATTTTATGGTGATTAAAACAAAAATTCTCATGCTGATTCCAAGATTGCAGTTTTTTTCGAGCACGTCAAGTTTTTTTCCTCCACAATTTACCCTACAGACAAGCAAAATTCTACTGATTACTGACTCATCTGCATTGCATGCCAACTTGCTTGTGCAGTTCCAGTGGGGTGAGAGGTGTGTGCAATTCCCAATAGCTCAGTACTATCAATATCTGCCAACTCAAAGCTGGCGTAGTAGGAATTAAGATTATTAGTTCTGACTTTTGTTTGAACCTTGTAACCATGAACATACCGTTCTAAGTTTTATTTCATTTTATGCTTTTTGTTTGCCTCCAGTTTGAGTTGTTCATGGTAATCTTTTGGGACCAACGGCTGAAATAAAATGAGTCGTTTGTCTTTCAGATCCTAGGCGAAGATATCGTATCAAGATCCTGGCTCTGAGTCAAGATGGAGACGGCTATGAGACAGACCAAGCCATCAGTACCCCGGGATGTGTCTGTGAGTCCATTTCTGCTTTGAAATCTCATTCGCTTACTTTTGTACTCATGTTATTTCTTTGGCCATATAAAGCTGCTCGAGACCAAATGGCAGCCTACCCGCCATCTCCAGATCATGTGACTGTCTTGGCCAGCAATTCCTCTGAAGTGTCTTTACGTTGGAGCCGTCCTACTTTCCCCTCTGGAAAGGCCGTCAGCTATACTGTCCGCTACACGATTGTGGGCACGCACAATGCTTCTGCCGTTCGCTACCTCCAAACGTAAGATAGCATTCCAAAACCTTTGTGTTAAATAACATTTTTGTGCACTGTGGTGTGTTACAGTCTGTACGGTGTTTGCTGAAGATAATAAAGTGTTCTGGATTTGAGGTTAACAATGTTGTTTCTTTTCCGCAGTGCCAAAGAGAATATAACAGTGCAAAATTTGGATCCAAACACTCGCTATGAGTTTGTGGTACGCCTTCATGTGGATCAGATGTCGAGTCCTTGGAGCCATGTGGTTTACCATCGCACACAACCAGCAGGTGATCAATTTGCCACCCAAACCACACTGTCGATTGGATTTTTTTTTCTTTAATATTTATAACGTACACAGAAACCTTTTATTTAAATGCCTCAATTATTTCTTGATGTATATGTAATTATTCATTTTGGCTTTGTCCCCAGCTCCCAGACGACCACCTACGGGAGTGAGACTAACCGTGATTGAGGACGACACAGCATTGGTATCCTGGAAGGAGCCCACAGAGCCCAATGTGGTGGTTACACACTATACTATACTCTACGCTTCCCAAACATCCTGGATGGCTGGACGCTGGCAAATAATTCAAAGAGAGGGTGAGCAGTGCACCACAGAAACATTTCTACAGCACGAGCCATATATCCAAACCAGGTTCGAGTATGCAATAACATTGATATGTGGCAAAACTAGCCACACAACACACCCGAAAGTAAGGTTTCCTTTGCTCTCTTGTTCGCTGTCCAATTGATGCTAACTTCCAGTAACTTTTTTTTAATGTAATATTTAGAAGCTTGCGTGCTCCACCTCATTATCATTGGAGCCTTCCTCAGCTCTCCGTTTTTTGTATTACGCCCACTAATGTCGGCATCTTCTACCATTAACAGGAAGCCATACTATGGCTCTTCTGGAGAAGCTAGAACCAGGGAACGTCTACCTGGTGAAGATCTCTGCCTCCAACCAGGTGGGGGACGGGCCTTTCTCAGATGTCGTTGAGCTGGCTATGAAACGTGGAAATATCCAACGCAACAAAAACGCCTGGCACTCAGATAGATTTCAGCACACCGCGGGTAGGTGTCATCGGTTTGTGATTGTATGTTGTCGAAACAGCTGATTTCATGTGATTGAGTTCTGTATTCATTGCTTAAATTTATAACTGAAAAGTTCGAATGAGAATGATCAGAAAGCACCACAACAGCGTCTACAATCATGTGTGACACTGCATCCTGCGGCATTATACTCCACTGTGTTCTTAAAGTTGTCGTTGTGTTCAATCGTAGTTTACTGTCTTGTTGATTTTTCAGTCTTCTCTGATGGTCTGTACCACATAGACCAGAGATCCATGACTGGAATCATTGTTGGAGTGAGCATTGCCTTGGCCTGTATTGTTATGTGTGCCTTGATCCTCATCAGTAAAGGGAGACCAAGGTACTCAACTGTTGTGTCACTGTCAAATTACAAAATGGTTACTTTCTCTCTCTGACTGGCATTTCTATCGTGTACCGTTTTGCTCTAGAAAATCATCCAGCCATAAAGTTGTTGCTGTGCCGCCGGGTGAAGGGCTTTCTTTGCCTCACGAGCGCCAAGTAGAGAACGCTGAGGCTCTTACACCAATGATGAGTACCAACTTCATAGATGCCAAAGTGAGACGAGGAACAACAAAAAGCATTGAAATATGTTCAAAAGCAGAATTATAATTTACATTCATGTGTTTCAGGGTGGATCTAATATGGTAATAAATACTGCTGGTACTGTCATGCCCAAAAATCAAAGCAAGAGGTGGCCTTTCTTCAACAACGATGTCAACACACCAACAGAGATTGATGTAAGTAAAGTGACATACACACTCTCGTTCATTCATCACTTTCCGTCTTACAAAAAAAGTTTTTAATTTGAGGTCTATTTGTTTTTGTCTGAAGGTTGAGGGGAGGGTCCGCTTGTATGAGACTGGCAAAACCATTCTGCGGTATGAGGAGCATTTAGGCGCTGCGCCTCTGCCTCCATCATCTCGTGAGATCATCTTCGGACCTTTTCCCACTGAGAGCTCGCAAAGCAGTGAGAGCAGCCAAGGGACGGGAGACTCTGGACACTACTCCACCGAGGAAAGCAATGAGGAGATCAGCAATCCGTCGACCAGCCAAAGCTCCGGACCCAAATCTTTCGAGCAACCTCATGATGCAGCTGTAGCTGAGCCAAAGCCATCTTTGCAAGTGGAAAACGAGAAATACGTTTGCTACCATCTCTCACCGCTGGACACCACTCGGTCACGCTGCGCCTCGGACCGCAGCTAGCACTCCATTTATCACCCAGCTCCAAGAATGACCATTTCTACCTCATTTGCTTCCTGGTTTGAGCCCTCTGCTTATTTCCTGTGGCACAAAAGAACAGGAAGTCAGCTGCTGTGAAGGAGGAAATGAGCATTTTCTTCAGATCTACCTCAGGATTTGGTGTAAATGTTGGTTCCAACATTTTCTTTCATTTTCTTTTTTTTTAACATTCTACCTGTTGGTTTTTGCGACAATATCTGTCCTAAACCAAAGCTCACCCATGATGAATGTTTTAAAGAATGTGCTGTGATATATTTGGTCATATTTAATTTGTTTTTCCACTGGAGCTTGATTGTCTACCTCAGTTTTTGTCTCTCCAAACCGTGTTCGAAACCACGTCTTGTTCAGATTTTGGCGGTTGAAAGAGCTTTTCGTTCCCATTGCTTGTCCTCCCCCCACCCCCCAAACCCCACCAACGTTTTTTGTGCATTGGAACAGAAAAACATTAAGTGCATTAGATATTGTCAAACTATTTGTGTTGTATGAGATACGAGACATTTTCAATGTACTGAACTCAAAGCTTTAACACGGCCTTAACACCAAAAGGGCCTTGCATACTCGATCCAAAGACAGGAACATTTGTATCCAAAGAGTTTGTCATAATAGACAACCAAAAATATGGTTCATTTACATGAAGGGTGTCTATGCCAAAAATACTGTTACGTGCCATTGATGTAAATTTCTCCGAATTGTGGTTTGAATGCTTTTCTCGGTGTAAACTTTTAGTCTGGTGAAAGCTTTAGCGCAAGTCCTCGTGGCTTGTGCTCCGTTTGCCTTTGAGACCATTGCTAAGTGCAGCGGTGACGCCGATGCTATTATCCAAAGAGTTGTCTGCTTCCTCACTTGGGTGTGGCTTTTCATTCAGTTGATCCTCGGCAATATGAGGTGGACACGATCGATTGATCCTGTGTGTCTTGTCAGTGATAGATGATGGTATTTATTTTTCGGGCGTACATCATTTAACGCTGACCTTCACCAGCAACCTCACCCCATGTGATGTATTGGGAATTGTTATCAATGCCTCCGCGATATTGCTGTCCCGGTGTGGATTCTGACTATCAAAATGGAAGCCCAATGTGTGTGAAGAGCAACATAATCAATTTTGATATCGTTGTAATACAAATTATCTTAACCAAAGAAGCTTTAAGTCTCTAATTTAGTGATTTTCTTTGGGTTCATTTACATAATTTGAATTTAAATATGCTATAATCAGTTTTGATTAGTAGAAAGGCATTTTACGAAGTTCTTAATTTTTTTTTTTTTTTTTGGTACTGATATGATTTCACCTAAATGAGAATTTGGTCAAAATTTTTCATTTTAGATGGTCGTTTAAATATTTGGGAATTACATGCTCCATTTTCATTGTGGTATTTCCCCAAGTTAACATTGCTGATGTCGTGCTCAGAGTGTTTCTTTGTTCATTATTATAATTACAAATGTTGACATGAATGCCACAGACAAATTTGCTGACTTGACTCAGGTGCCAAATGTAGATTTATAGTGAGTAGTCTTGATTGTCATTTTAAATTATGTTTTCTCTTATTTCCATGCTTTTGAATACCAAAAGACTTCTTTTAGCCCAAAGAGTGCAACAAAGCAAAGTATTTTATGGGGTGGAATGTTGCAACCGACTTTTTGATACTCTCAACATTGTCGCAAATGAATGATTAATAAAATTGTTCTTGGAAAACCATCTTGCTGTTTCATTGTCTGCTTGAGTGAGTAAGTAACTCTTTTGAGAGCAAAGTTAGCATGAACTTAAATTCATCATGATGAGCAAGAAAAGGTTTCCTCAAGTGTTATTCATTGTAACCAGTGCTGTGTGTAACGTTCCTTTTGCCCAAAGACTTTTGGGATAGGCTCCAACTCCACACAGGGTGGCTGGAGCTGCAATTGAACACGGCACCGCTCCACTGTGAGGTCAACTCGCTAACCACTCGACCACCGGACCTCCCAGGTGAAAACATAAAGTACTAAATTTTCCCGTGGGCCGCGAATGGCCCCCGGGCCGTGAGTTTGAGGCAGCTGTGATTTTTGATTGCCCTCACCCCCTTCATAGTTAATGAACTATATTGTATTCTTGATGAACATTTTTTGGACTCCCAGGACCACCCCAACCCCCCAAAAAGCAAAAAAAAAATGTAGGATGGTTAAATATTTTACATAAAAATATTTGCATTTGTTATATTTGCATGATATGACATAATTTGGAAAAAAAAAATGTAGGATGGTTAAATATTTTACATAAAAATATTTGCATTTGTTATATTTGCATGATATGACATAATTTGGCTTGTCGACCATTGAGGTATATGGACAGCAGGGGGCAGTATATTTTGAAGTCAACACTTTCAGTGTTCACCAAAGCGGAAGTCGAGCTGAACGTCCGGCCTTGTTGTTGTCACGCGTAGAACGCAGCAGCTTTGCTGTGAAGATGCGCATCGAAAAGTGTTATTTCTGCTCGGGTCCGGTGTACCCAGGACATGGAGTTATGTTTGTCCGAAATGACTGCAAGGTATGATACACTTGTGTTCGTCAATAGTCAAGCAATTTGCCAATCGAACGCCCTGTTGGTCCGTCATGTGGCCGGCCAATACCAAACCCGAATCTAACGTGCTCACGTGGAATTCGAGTGGCTGTTTTAAAAAAATGACGCCGAGGGGATGGACTCGAGCATGTCTTTACGTTGACATTTTTCTTGTGTGTGCGCGCATGTGAGTAGTTAAGGTTTGCTCTTGCCGCGGGTTACTTTTGATTAGTCGTGAACGGACCCAGGGATTTAACTCGCGCAGGCGCTTCAGTTTTGGCCTTTTACATGGAGATAGTGCGCCCCCCAGTGGTTGACACGTGGAATCCACACTGACAGCCTAAAAACAAAAATGAATACTGTATAATGCTTTTAGGTAACTTTCCCAACGGTGCTCCGACTACGGACACATCGTAGTTACATCGTAGCAATAGAAACGCAACACCGTCGTAAACTGAGGTCCGGCTGTACACGGCACGAAATACCCACTCAAAAAATACTTGGCTCTCCAAGCATCAACATCATGACTGTTAAAATACAGTGGCGTGGTAGGCCAAGATGTTCATCAAAATGAGACAGAATATATGAAGTTTAAAATTTTAATAGAAATGTAATTTTATGAAAACGTTAAATACAACTGAACTGTACTGGGGCAGTTGGAGCCGTGTGAGCTATAGGAAGGACGACCAAAGTGATTAATAAAATACCTATCTAATGTTCAATTTTTTTGAGCCGTCAACTTTGGGTTTTCGTCAGCTGTAAACTATTATCGTCCACATGAAAAGTCTCTGGAACAAATAAAGATTGTGAGAGTGTCACTTTATTTGACCCACTAAAATAAATGTTTCCTATGATATTTCAATCTATAGAGATTGTGTAACAACAAATTCTCGATAATTTTTTGTTATTTTTATCAATCGAAGTTCCTTGTATTGCTGTTTTTTTTAAGTAAACTTATTATTTGATTATGGAATCAGGAGGTTGGTTTCACTTAGGATTTTATGCGAATCGTTTTCAAAATTGTTATTTTAGTGCATGTTTGTTTTTCTGACTATCTTCCCACACACAATTGTAGACATTCAGGTTCTGCAAATCAAAATGCCATAAGAATTTCAAGAAGAAGCGTAACCCCAGAAAGACCAGATGGACCAAAGCATTCCGAAAGGCAGCTGGAAAGGAATTGACAGTGGTAAGTAAAAAATATTTCAAAACACACTGTTTGAGTTTTGCATGATTCTATCATCATTCATTGTTTGTCTTTCAGGATAACTCTTTGGAGTTCGAGAAACGCAGAAATATTCCTGTTAAATATAACCGGGAGATGTGGGATAAGACAGGTATGGTACAAATTGTTTGTGGGAAGAAATTCTGAGTTGGTGAGAACATGCAAAAGAGGCTAAACACATTCACAATTGACTAAAGTACCCGTCACAAATATGTGGAGGAAAAATAACTACCGGTAAAATAAAATAACTGACTACATCAAGCTTACTTAATTGCTTCTGTGCAGTTTAATTCCTTACAAAGGGAACATTTGTCTAAATAATGGCAATGTTATTTTTTATACAGCTTTCCTGTCAAATCATATGAGATTGTGCAGATGTGCTGTTGATTGTTTACACTGGACTGTGCTACTAAGAAAAACAAGCAACAGTGTTTTGTCTATTGTTTGCTCAAATTGACAAGTGTGTGTCACTTTTGCAGTGAAAGCAATGAAGAAGGTGGAAGAAATTAAACTGAAACGGCAAGCAAGATTTATCATGAACAGGTGGGCAGTTTTTTCAATGTCAGCTCTTTCTGGTTTTTTTTTTTTCTCTTGTTCTTTTCTTATCCAACTACTATTTCTATTGAATAAATATGGTAGATTTGGATAGAATTGTTTGGTCTCCATTTTGCAGATTAAAGAAGGGCAAAGAGTTGGAGAAGGAAGAGGCCATCAAGGAAGTGAAGAAGAATATTCACCTCATCAAAGCGCCACATGCAGGTACATATTCAGATGTAGTGTTGAAAGCTGTTTGATTTTTAATTTTTTTTTTTTTCGGATAAAGCCTAGTCACTCTTGAAAGTTACATGAAGTAAAATGGAGACAAATCTTGTTTGTTTTTACAGGAAAACCCAAACAAATGGAAGAGAAAATGGTGCAGAAATTACAAGAGGATGTGGATATGGGAGATGAGGACATTTAAACGTGTTGGTTTTGTGTGGCAATTACTTTGACCGAATTTTCAGTAGACTCTCCTGTGGTTTGGTAACCAGCATTTCTACAAAATAAATGCTTCACGATGGACTCGCAGTGTATTCAGTGCTGTACACTCGCTGGTTGCATTGATCCACTGAAGACCTCTGCAGAGGCCTCTTATGTGTGTGTTCATATAATGACTTGCCTGACTGCAGAAAAGACAACGGATGACAGAATAAACACTTTTCACTGTAAAAAAAAATGCAGTTTTTGTTTTGTTTTTGAATGTATATTTAAAAAGTAATCTTCATCATAATGTTCACATTTTGACATCCTCAGTCCATGTTGACACCTAACAATTGTTGAATAGGGAATTGGTCACTGAATTTAAAGTGTCATCGTCAGGTAAGGTTGCAATAGAGATATAGAAAGACTGGGAAATTCCTAGAAAGTCATAGATATGGACGTCCTTCACAAAACCTGAATTTTTCCATTCAGCTCCTTGTTTAGAAACTGCAATTTGTGTAAAAACTGGTGAAACATTGAACAACTGGACATGTGCTTGAAAACGTTTGAGAAGGCCAAATGAAGTTCACCTACAACGGTTATGTGCACTTGAAGTTCATTCCACTCGAAAGCCGAAGATCCCTTACTTTGTGAATAGTTTATGTAAATAACAAAAAGAATGCAGTACTACGTACAATTGCGCATATTTGTAAAGAGAAGGCTTCCGAAGATGACGATTAATCATAATGGTACAGTATAAACTCCACAACTACCTTGAAGACAAAGGTGACAGTTTTGCAGAATTGTACAGGTTCTTATCAGAATGTCCAATGTAAACAACTGAAGTCGGGAAGACAAGATAAAAGGCGTCGATTCGGGTCCACTCGGGTCAGTGGAGTATCCGGGCTCGATTGCGCAATTCAGCAGCCCACGGCACATAAAGCTACTTGTATCGTTGCTGCTTCTGCTGCTGCTGCTTGTGAAGGGACACTTCATCCCACTCCGGGTCGGACGTCTGGGTTTTTGAACAGCAGGCCACGTCTTAAATAAGAGTAAAATGTCCGATGAGGCTGAAGGAACGAGGACGTTGGAAGAACGGGTGAATTGTCTCTTTTTGTATGTGTGTGAAGAAGATCTTAACTTGGCTTGCATAGTAAATCTTGATCAGGGGTGAGTGGTTTGCACTAGGCTAGTTAGCATTTAGCTTCTCTCGGCCAGTGCAACCAAAGGGATGATATCACCAAGTTAGTAATTTTTACCTCCAGTAAAAGTACAAACCTCAACACCGTGATCCAACACACTCTTCCAATTTATAAACTGAGATTTCCGTTCTTGCTCTAAACGTGAAAGTAAGCGCTACACGTTGAATGTGTTTGGCTGGTAAAATTCCATGTCAGAATTGACGTCACCTTTACATCTAACGGTTCAATTTTGTGGTCTTTTATTTGCCAAGGAACAGAGTATACGCTAAATGTTGTGAAGCCAAACGTCGTTTTATGTTAGAAAACTATGACCAATGGTCACCCTATTGCCAACTGTGTAGAAGTCTGACTGTACGTTGTTTCGACAGGAAATGGATGATACGGTTATTAGTCCAGAGAAAGCAGAAGAGGCCAAATTAAAGGCCAGGTACGCCGGTCTTGGAGCCAAACCCGGGGGATCGGATTTCCTGAGAAAAAGACTTCAGAAAGGGGTTGGTATCATGGTTAAATTAAACCCTTATCTTATTTAATCTAGATATTGAGTCTTGATTTTTGTTCACCCAGCCAAAGTATTTTGATTCCGGCGACTACAACATGGCCAAAGCCAAAATGAAGAATAAGCAGTTGCCATCAGCCCTGTCGGAGAAGTCCGAGATCACTGGCGGTCACATCCCAACGCCTCAGGATTTGCCTCAGAGAAAGACTTCTATTGTGGCAAGCAAGCTGGCTGGCTGATTGCTCTGCTGTTGTTACCATTCCCACCACTGAGTCAAACCCACCTACCTACCTTCTGCTGTCTTTTCACTTCTGTGTGTTCTTTTCAAAGTTCAAACCAAACATGTGAGAAAGGAATTTAAAAGTCAGATCCAGCAAGTTGGAATTCTAAAATGCTCTGAAACAAGAGCCATGACTTGCTTGCACGTGATTTCACACTTAAAAATGAGTGCTACCTCATTTTGGTATAATATTTCACTTTTGAAAAATACAGGGTGCAGGAGGAAAGCAGTGTGTAGAGGCTTGTTTGTTATTGACAAAAAGAATCTTGTTGCTGAAACTCTTGCTAAGAAGCCAGTGACTTAATATTGGGTAAAATAGTCATTTTTGCATTTGGATATGTCCCTCAGTTGAACTTTTTAAGTACAAATGCTCATGTGGAGTCATCCCTCTGTTCTATTGATGCATCAAATATTCTCACACCTCGGTGTATAATATCAGGTCTGATTGCATACAGTTGTGTTTTAATGGGTTTCTGACAGTGGTCTCCGAAGACTTGAAGAACGGGCTCATCATCCAAACTCTCGAAATGGCCTTAATTGAAGTATACTGTTTTTCTTGAGCAATATTTGCTGTCAGAAGAGTCATGTCACTGTTCGACTTGAATGGTTTAGGATTTTAAGGAAGGAAACTAATAAACTATGTACTGTATGTGGAGTGGGGTGTGTATGTGCAAACACACTGTGCCATTTGTTGTGTAAATAAAATAAATTTTGCATAATATTCCTTTTGGCTGTTTTTGTACTTAACAGTCAATACGGATGATGTAATGGATGCACAATTTAGGTAGAAGTCCAGTCTAAGTGTGTTTATTAATGCATTTCACCATGCTTGTTTCATGTTTAGGTGATTTATCTATTTGGGTACAATGATTTCTGTCAATGAAATCCACAACATTTGACGTGCATGCTTAATGTGCACTAAGTAACTGTAGGATGTCAGTAAAATGTAGTAAAAATATTTTACTGTAATGTAGGATAATGTAAATTTGCTTATAAATAGACAATGTTTTCTCAAGTCTGCCTTGGAATAGACCTGTGTGTGTGTGTGTGTGTGTGTTTGTGTGTGTGTGTGTTTGTGTGTGAGAGAGAGAAAGAGAATGTTAAATTTAAAACAAAGCTCATTTAAACAATACAATGGTAACGAGTGGTAATACTTAATGTTTATTGGGGGTGTTTTCAGTACTCTAAAACGGCACTACATAATGAGCTGTTTTTTTTTTTGTTATTTTTCCACCCTCCTCCCCTACTTTTTTTAATTTTAGGTAAATCAAGGTCAGAATGCATCCATAACCATCTGCTAAGTATACCTGTACCCAATAACAATACCTGAACAAACTATTGGAAAATTATACCCCCCCCCCTCCGCCCCTTGTCACACCAAACTTCAGCCTGTGATGCTTTTCGAAAAACTCAAACTCATTACATTATATGACGTTCCAGTTTATTTTTATTAGTTTTATGGCCTCTTTTGGTTTTGAGTTCCCCGATTGGCCACCAAGGGGCACTCAAGTGACGTTTTTTTTTTCCTTTCCTCAATGTGCAACGTTGTTAACCTGCTTTTTAGCGTCAAATTCAGATTAGGAGGCATTAATATTGAATTCACGACCCTGATCTGACCGTACTTGCGTGAAATCGTGTCTTTATTTTCCCGATAGTGGAAGCATGCATTCCAGTATTGGACGCTAATTTCAAACTTTAAGATGCATGGAGGTAATTTGACCAGATGTGACTTGACGCTGAACTGTCAACCGTTTGTTCGACACTACTTCAAGCTACATTGTCCGGAATTACAAAATTTATGGAATACGTTTTAATAGTATATTATTTTAAATGGATACGTTTCAACTACACTGCTGTCAGCGCCACAATCTCACTTTCAGACCGCCCCGCACGCTTCCATTTACTTTGAAGTAAAGGCAAGGTGGTGGCTGCGGTGACTGTGTCTCCACAAGTGGAGGCTGCTGTGCTGCTCGGAGACAAGTTTTGCTGGGTTTGCTTTTAATTTTCACTACTCGTCATGGCAGGTTCAGAGCTGTACACCAAGGTAAGCTTTCATTTCTAAATTTATCAGTCAACTGTCTTCTCTCACCATCTGTGCTTTCCTTTAACCCCCGCGTTATACGCGTACGTAGATATTAAATTCTACTTCGTTTTATTTTTATCTGTCGGGGCACTTAAAATAACGCCACCGGAACGTTATACTCGAAGTGACTGTACTCATTTCAAGCGCTTAATCCATTGAGGTCCTTTGGTTACGACGGTTCTGACATAATTTATGTTTCGAGGTTACGAACGGCGCACCAACAGCTAAAAGTGATCAAGAAAACGAAGGGACCGTTTAAAGAACACAATGAATCAATCTCAATTACACCAATGGGAATGTCAGCCAGTCCAGTTCGGCAGCCATCGATTGTGAATCACTTTCACCTGTTGTTGTGCCAACATCTGGAAAGGGGAGACAGTTTGGAAGAAAACTATAAAGAAATGGTTCTACAAGTGGTCACCACAGACCTTTTCCCTGTCCTTATCCTTTCTGGACGATACATTTATTTTGTTATTTTGCTCACTTTTGCATTTTGCTAGTTCCCTCATCTCGAGAGGTATTATGAGACAGTGTCAACAACCCACATAAGTTGCTCCGGTGGTGCAGCTCATCCAGGATGGCACGTCAGTGCGCACTGGTCTCCATGTGTTATCCAGTGGTACCCCGACTACCATTAGGTACCAGAAGAGAGTCCTCAGTCATGCTGATAATGAGGGCCCTGGGTACATTGCTCGATCTCATGTGGCTGGAGTGTATCAGAAGTTCCTGCATGATGAAGGCACTGATGTTATAGAATGGTCTGCCATGTTCCCCAGACCTGAATCCAATTGAGAACAACTGAGACATCATGACGTTCCATCCACCAATGCCACATTTGCAGAATGTTCAGGAGTTGACTGATTCTCTGATCGAGGTCTGGGAGGGCATTGTGATTATGATTCTGAATTCAGACCTGCATGGCACGATGATTTTGAGTTGAATCATGCGGATGTTGTTTTGTTCTCAATGCATTCCACTGTGTAATGATTATGATTTTTTTTTTCACTCATTGAGATCTACGATGCGTTGTTTCATGGTTCCCTTTATTTTTTTTAAGCCGTTTTAATTTGCATAGCGGTGTGAGTATATGTCGTCATGCGACGCAAGAAGGCACACAATTACTGCCATAATTACTGCGTTTCATTTGATTGCTTCAAATTTATAGCCTAGAAAATGGTATTAATTGAAAACCACAAGGTGGATTTTTAGTTCAATCAATCTCAGTATCTAATACAGCATTTTTTGCTACTCAAGTCGATTCACAATTTGATCAAAGCTATGCAACACATTCTTGTGCAGGGAAGTTGAGCAAACTTGGTATTTTTTGAAAATAAAAATCACTTGTGCTTATGTATACTTCTAATGTTTTGAAAAACCTTTATTCAAGTACAGAAATTAAATCAGGACCTCTGATTTCAACCTATTCTTTGTTTTTAACTCCTATCTGTACAGGGTGTGAATACTTTTGCCATCTCTTGGTTGTGATTTGACCGCACATTCTGGTATTGGCTGTTTTTGTACAATACTTTGTAACTGGAATTAAGGTTGAATGCTTGTGACTTGGTTTCTCCTATACTTATCCACCAGAATGCCCGTGTGTGGCTCCCGGACCCCGTGGAAGTGTGGAAGTCAGCAAAGCTAGTCAAAGATTATGCGACTGCCACCAAGACGTTATTTCTCCTCCTGGATGATGGCACTGTAAGTCACAGAAATTTTCTCGATATGCAGTGCTCTGAAAAAGTATTTGCACCCTTGGGAATTTCCTTGGGTTGTGCCTGTGCGATTAAATTTGGTAGGATGAACTATGAAACCTTTTGTGTGTGATAAATATGCAAACAACACAGAAATCGGGAAGGGGGCAAATACCTTTTCACAGAACCGTACACTCAACTGTGAGAGAAATGAACAAAGTGTTAAAGCAATGTATGCACCACAAGAGAAGGGCAGAGATGGATGAACACAGTGATTGAAGGAATTTGGGCCGAGTTGAGGCATGCAGGTGGAGTGACTTAAGGCAAACTTATCTTGCACAAGACAGTTGCCTGGTACTTATAAATCACCCTCTCTTGTAGTGTTTAATATTTCTTTGGCCAATGTTTTCAATACTGATTTGCTCCTAACTGTCTTTTGTGTTTTTGTAGGAGTTGGAATATAAAGTAGATCCTCATACAAACAACCTTCCACCTCTAAGGAACCCCAACATCCTGGTGGGGGAAAATGACCTCACGGCTCTCAGCTACCTTAATGAACCGGCCGTCTTACACAACATCAAAGTGCGCTTCATCGACTCCAAGCTGATTTACACGTACTGTGGTAATGAGCGTCATCTTGACTCACTCGCACTATCGTTGTCACTGTAGACTTTGGAGTCCTGCTCACTGTACGCTCTGACTTGAGGCGTATGATGACAATTATCTTGGTGCAGGTCGCTCTTAAAGGAACACACACACAAGCCAAAGCAATCTGATAAACATTCATTATGCGTTTTCCACAAGAAATGTGGGGGTGGGAAAACAGACACTCCCCAAAAACAAAGAAACCAAAAACATTTTAAAAATTTCAAAAAAATGCTAGTATGCAAATCCATGCGTGCTGAAACACAAGTATGCGGGGCCCACTGTCATACAAAGCTATACTTCTGTCATACGTACCTGTGGCTAAAAAGCGAAAGGTTAAGAGTCTCTGTCGCTGAATTGCATAAGTGCAGTCAATGTATAAAGCGATCATTGCCAATGGCCTCTCAAACATCCACACTCTCCTTAATTTGTTGTCTGTTTTCTCACTTTTTATGCTAATATATCTTTAGGGGAGAGGCTAATCTGCTTCGTTCTGGACAATTGCGTTATGTTTGTGATTTAATAAAAGATGATGCAATATGTGGAGCCTAAACACGATTTCTCAATAAGAACAGTAGAGGTCACAATTTTCCCATTGTTACAAGTGGGTATGTGTGAGGGCCGATCGCTAGGTGCGTGGGTATGCGTTTGACGAATTTTGTCATGATGTTTGGTGTGTGGCACTGAAGGCCCAAGGTCACACATTGCCAAACTTTATTTTTTTTAAAAACACATTTCACCTATTATAGAGAATTCCCATTGACCTTCCAGGCAGTGAGCCATATTTTGTACCCTGAATGATAATTGTCATCTACACTGAGATCTTTTCTGCACTCTCTAGGCATTGTTCTTGTTGCCGTCAATCCATATGAGAGTCTGCCCATCTATGAAGCTGACATCATCCACGCCTACCGTGGGCAGGACATGGCCGACATGGACCCCCACATATTTGCAGTGGCCGAGGAAGCTTACAAACAGATGGCCAGGTGTTCTTCAAATAGAATCTGTAGACTCAGGACCACCCGAGATGATGGTCATTCATCTTCTTCATACTTATTATATGTCTCATATCTTTATGCAGAGACCAACAGAACCAATCCATAATAGTGAGTGGAGAGTCAGGAGCTGGCAAAACCGTCTCTGCTAAGTATGCCATGCGTTACTTTGCTACGGTCAGCGGTTCCTCTGGTGAGGCTGATATTGAGGAGAGAGTCCTGGCCTCCAACCCCATCATGGAGGTGATGTTCAACACTGCACAATGCATACATGCATATTGATTATTGTCATATTCTGTTCGATACATTTTGACAGTCATACAATGAGATCCAATAAGAGCCTTACTGTATACTTTGCAAGCTTGACGAATGAAATGTGTTGTTGTGTCCAGTCATAAATGTTATTTAGAGGCTTCAGTGTAATACTTTTAGGCTCTTGGGAATGCCAAAACGACGAGGAATGACAATAGCAGCCGCTTCGGGAAGTACATTGAGATCGGGTTTGATAAGAAGCATCGTATCATCGGAGCTCACATGAGGACATATTTATTGGAAAAATCAAGAGTTGTTTTTCAGGTACTTTTCATGTTGATCATGACTTAAGCATTTCCTCCTATACCCCTAACCTATATTTTCTCTTTTCTGCGACGTGAATAAGGAAATATGCATGTCTGCTTTACCTTCAGGCCCATGAAGAAAGGAACTATCATATATTTTATCAGCTGTGCGCCTCCTCACATTTACCAGAGTTTAAAGACTTCAAATTAGGTGAGTGTTGTAAATTTAGAAACATCGTAACTTGCTGAGTATTTGAAATGGTTCCTTAAAAAGCTCGCCATTGTATCGATGTTTATGACTGATTTGTCTGCGGCATCAAGGTGATGCAGATGATTTCCACTACACTAATCAGGGTCATTATCCAGTTATTGATGGAGTGGATGATGGCAAAGATATGTGCAGCACAAGGAGAGCTTTTTCACTATTAGGTGAGTCTTAATATTTTGTGTATGTGATGGCTACAAATCTGTTAAAAATGTTTCCTTTCAAAATTTATCTTTTTTTTTTTTACATTTCAAATTTAATTCAATGGTTAAAAGTTTGATCTGGCAATTTGCACACATCAAAATTTAGCATGACTGTAACCATTTACAGTATTCTGATTTTGTTTACCTTTCTGACAGTGTTTCTGTACCAAAAGAGATTATTGGTGCAGCGTCATGTACACATTTCCGCTGTTTTTTTAGGAATCGGTGAAAGCCATCAAATGGAAATCTACCAGATTCTGGCAGCTATTCTTCATCTTAGCAATGTGGATGTTAAGGATCATTCAGGTGACAGAAGCAGCATTTCGGTAAGTTAGTTTCAAGTAAGTTACAAGGGGGATTTGCTTTTAGGTCGGGATGTTCGATACCGCTTTTTTTTTCAAACCGATACCAGTATGAGTGCTGAACTGTTGAGTACTTTGATCCATCAAATTTGTACTAAACCAATGACAGATCATTTTAGGTAAACACCTTTTGTTTATTTCTGACGAAAAGGATACAACAGTCACTCTGAAGTGTAAAATAAAACGTACATCTCTGTTTAGTCTTTGTTCCAAATAAACTGAAGTGCAAAATAATACAGTCAAATGTTAACCATCATACGGAAGTTGGAAAATAGGGCTGGACTGAAAAATTGAACACAGTGTATTTTATATCAGCTGATAATGACTTTTTAAAATTTATTATTTTTTTTACCTACGGTACTCAAAATGAGAAAAAAAAATCTAATAGCTGAAAGATAAAATTCAATTATCGCGAGGAAGAATAAATTTCATATTCCAAAATAAAGGGACATACAAGTATAAAAAAGTGGGCAACAGCTGAGTATAGCATTTTGTATAGTACAAGTAAGCACGATGTTGCCTGGACTGCATTATACAGGAAATATATCCCTTATAAATGCCATAAATAATAAGAACATGCAGTTTTCAAGTCACTGAAAGTAGGAAGATGTGTAAATTTAAGTATATGCATGAACTACTGTAACGGAGAAAGTCACCATACCACCCAAATTAATTTAGTTTATAAGCTTATAAATTTCGGTACTCGCCCATCACTGCTTTTAGGTTGCTTCTGTTTTTACCTTGTGTATTTTCAGCCAGACAATTTTCACTTGGTGGTGTTCTGTGACTTGATGGGGGTGCCCTGCGAAGAAATGGCCCACTGGCTCTGCCACAGGAAACTCCAGACAACCACAGAAACATACGTCAAAGGTGTCTCCAAGACGAATGCGGTCAATGGCCGAGACGCACTCGCCAAGCACATTTATGCTCGGCTCTTCAGCTGGATTGTTGGCTGTATCAATAATGTGCTCAAATCAGCAGTTAAACAACACTCATTCATTGGCGTTCTGGACATTTATGGGTATGTTGTCATCATCCTGTCCTTTCTATCTTATTTTGGCAATAGTACTTTGTCCTTTTTATTTTTCCAATTATTCTTTCCGCAGGTTTGAAACATTTGATACCAATAGCTTTGAACAGTTTTGTATCAACTATGCCAATGAGAAACTCCAACAGCAATTCAACCTGGTACCTTTATTGTTCTGTATTCTTTATTTTCTAGTAATAACCTTGCATGTGAAGCACTGTCGCTATTTATGCCTCCAGCATGTCTTCAAACTGGAACAAGAAGAGTACATGAAGGAGGAGATTCCATGGACCCTGATTGACTTCTATGACAACCAGCCGTGCATCAATCTCATCGAGGCAAAGTTGGGCATCCTCGACCTTCTGGATGAGGAGTGCAAAGTAAAATGCTGCTCTTTGCCTCCGCCAGGGAGATTATTGCAATTTGTCTCGTCATCTGTTTGTTTGCTTGTTTTCTGTATTACATGACGCATAGTATCATTGTTTTTTTTTTTTTTTGGTTGTTTTTTTTTTTTAATGATTAGTCGTAGTAATTTGGTGAGAATCCACGCATTGCAATTGAAATATGAATCCTCTTCTTTTATAATTGGAGATTTCTTTTGAGAATTTGCTTTGCTTATGCAGAATCTTAAATGAAATTACATGTTTAATGCAAAATCAATTTCCATCTGCAATTTGATTAGCACATTTGGCAGCGGTTTAACAATATAGAATCTGAATTGCACATCTTTAGATACTAATTTGTTGTTCTGTGCTTTTTAGAATCTTTTTTTTTTTCGTAGGAATAATCCGGATGAGCCTAAATTTATCTCATTCAAGCTGCAAGTGTTTGCCACAACTTTCCACAGGCTGAGCCTACATGTTATTTTGAATAAAAGGCAGGGTGAGCTAATGGGTCACTTCTTCCTGTTTCCTTAGATGCCGCAAGGCTCCGATGACACGTGGTGTCAGAAAATGTACAACAACCTGTTGAAGCAGAACGCTCACTTTGACAAACCGAGGTTATCGAACAGAGCTTTCATCGTTCACCACTTTGCGGATAAGGTAGCTAATGCTTAAGTTTTGATATCTAAACAAAGTTGAATTAATTTATTTTTCTTATTGAAAAGCACTTTAAGTCCTGGCCAGTTCTCATCCATGCATATTCTTGCCACCTTAACAGAAAAACAGAATCTCACGTCATTAAAAATGTTTTCCACGCAGTGCATCATTTCCCCTTGCAGAACAAACAGTGTTGAAATGGAAGCACGGATGACTCATATGTTCTCATGCAAAGTGTGTGTGAAGAAAGAATTACCTTCAGTTTTAATGCCAATGCCAACAACTTGTACTTCTTTTCACCATCGGTTGTACTGTATTAGCAACACAGTTCTGTCACCCAGCTTCAGCAACATGATGATTATGACCTTTGCTCATTTTTTCCCCACCATCACTTTTTGCCATAGGTGGAGTACCAGTGTGACGGTTTCCTAGAGAAAAACAAGGACACCGTCAATGAAGAGCAAATACACGTGTTACAGAAGAGCAAGGTGAAATTAGTGACCACCGCTTTACCATACAATACGGCTTGATTTGTAGAGCACTTTCACAACAGCTGCAGTTCTCAGAAAGCACTTGAAAGAACAAACAAAATAACAATAATGCAACAGAGCACACAACATAAAACCCGGCGTACGGAACAATCGAAGAATTTCCTTTTACAGTCATAATGGAAGTCATTTAAAGGAAGTCATTGTCAGTACCCATTCAACTTAGAATCCAGTTGGAAACTCATACTTGATGTTATTATGCGCACACACCCTGGAATTGTTGTGCCAGCACCTTTGGAGGAAATAATGCACACTTCACTTTGTACTTTAAATCAAAACATTGCCACCTAGTGGCCACTGACATAAACGACTTCTCGCTTGTTCTCAGTTTGATTTCTTGCTGAAACTGTTTGTGGGAAATGAAAAGGCAACAAGCTCCACCAACAGACCCGCGACCAGCATTACGGGAAGATCTGGTCAGTCACAGAGAGCTAATAAGAAGACTGTGGGGCTGCAGGTGAGATCAAAAACAGGTGATCGCCACAATTTTAACTTTACTAGTAATAATAAAGCACATTCGCAGTCTCTCTTTTACTGTCTCTCACGACTATAACAAACAACAAACCAAAACTTGTTTATGAAAGTTTCATAATGAAACATTTCTAAAGTGGTTGCTTTTGTTAGGTAAAATACGATATTGATCGTGGCCGCCTGTAATGTTTGTCAGTCTTTTGATTTTATTTCATGGTCATCACCTCTGTTACAGTTTCGACAGTCCCTACATTTGCTGATGGACACGCTGAATGCTACGACTCCTCACTATGTTCGGTGCATTAAACCAAATGACCATAAAGTGCCATTCAGGTAAAGGAGAAGGCGATGATTTTACTCTCCTCACTCTCTGGTTTGATTTAACATGTTCTATTTAATAAAGCTTGGACCCTGTGAGGGCAGTCCAGCAGCTGCGAGCGTGTGGCATCTTGGAAACGATACGGATCTCGGCAGCTGGATTCCCTTCGAGGTAGCATCTCCGCAGGCGCCTCTGTGAAAACAAGAGATGTTGAATACACCCCACTAAATGTTTATATATTCATGTTAAACTTATAGTAAGTTTGTGAACGTTGCAGATGGACCTATCAGGAATTCTTCTGTCGTTACCGGGTCCTTATGAAGCAAAAGGATGTGCTTTCTGATGTAAAACAGACCTGCCAAAATCTCCTGAAAAAGCTCATCCAGGTATGAATTATAGGCAGAACCTCAGTCGTAACCACAGTATGTCGATATTGATTATGTTCCATTGTGATTTTGTTGTCAGGACCAGAATCTGTATCAGTGTGGTAAAAACAAGATCTTCTTCAGAGCTGGCCAGGTGGCCTACTTGGAAAAACTGCGATCTGAACAGTTACGAAGAGCTTGTGTCAGCATCCAGAAGACAATCCGCTGCTGGCTGGCACGTAAAAAATTCCTGAGGATGAAGCAGTCTGCCATCACTATTCAAAGACATGTGCGGGGTCATCAGGCACGCTGGTGAGCAGACAGATTCGTGAACAGTAGGAGAATACATTTGACAGCCAACATTACAAATGCCCCCCCTAACCCACCCCCCCCAGTTATGTTCGCTTTCTGCGGAGGACAAAAGCAGCTGTTGTCATTCAACGTAATGTCCGAATGTGGGCGGCCAGAAGACGATACCAAAAGCTGCGCTCTGCATCCGTTGTCATTCAGTCCTTCTTCAGGGCGTATGCAGCCAGAAAGCTGTACTATAAGGTAATGTCAGCAATAATTCATTATTTTTAACTGGGCTTTATTGACATATCTTACTCAAAATATGATGCGACTTGACAGTTGAGGCCCATATTACCGGTAGTGTAAATTCAGGAACTCGCATCCAACAACTGTGATCTGAAAAATTGCTTCAGATGCTCCAAAATATTTTGTCTTCGCAGAAAAGTAAAAGGTGTTATAACTGCAAAGGAGAGACCAACTACAACTCCTATTCATTTTTAACTCCTTTGCTGAAGTGTCTTGTGCTTCTCCTTTGTCAGGATATAAATAAAATAAATATTTTTTCTTGTTCCGAGTTAGCTGGTCTAAGCTCAAGCGTAAAGCCATGAACTTACAATATTATGTTGTGTGATAAAACGCTAGCTGCTAAAGTCAAGTTGCACAAAAGCTGTTTTCTTAAGGGCTTATGTTTTTGATACAATAAATGCAAAGTTTAAATGGATACATTTGTTGGAAATTGCCCCATTACGCCAATCGCGACCTGCAGCTCGCGAAGGGAGTGTCAGTCGAATGCATGGCATTAACTCAATCACAGCCAACCCTCCCAGTTTTGTGCTATTTATATAGCTGCCTGTCATATGCGGTGAATGAGCTAAAAAAAGAAAAAAAAAACAAAAGGACACTTTGACTGTCATCTGATGTAAAATGTGTCACTTGATTGACAAGCAGGGCAGCCTGTCATACGCCTGTTGCATGCGCACACAAGGGCCCTCACTGGCAAAACTCAATTTTGTTTTGTCCACACTAAACTTAGTAACAAATTATAAAAATGATTCGGGGACCAACTAAGCCAAGTATTTATTTCCATGGAAAGTGAGCGTTTTTTATTTGTTTATTTTTTTTGGGTAATTTGCGCTCAGTTCCGTGGTGCGGCATCTCAGGCTGGCTGCAGAGTGGGCTGGCCAAAGGGGAGCGGGCGGCATGCTCGGGCACATGTTCAGGCCTGGCCATTGATTAAAAACATGAAGAAGTCCCTGTACCATTCCAACATGACGGATGTGAATTGGGAAGTGTGCGCATGCAAGTTGTATTGTGCAGTATGGCTTCACTCAATTGTGCAAGGGACACCAGTACATATTGTACATCTAAAGAATTCCAAGTATATAAGGTAGATCGTTTAGACTTGGTCATTTAATAATCAGCTCACATGTTGAAAAAGTTGTGCTCCTCTTTTTTTTTGAACCTTGCATTGATGATCCAATATTGATCTCTTCACAGATTTTGTACGACCAAAAGGCTTTGGTCATCCAAAAGTGGGTGAAAGGCTGGCTAGCCAGGCAGCGTTATCGACGTACTCGAGCAAATGTCATCCTGCTGCAGTGCTGTGTGCGACGCCTACTGGCCAAAAGGGAATTAAAGAAGCTCAAAGTTGAGGCGCGCTCAGTGCAGCGTCTCAAGAATCTCAACGTTGGCATGGAGAACAAAATTATGCAGTTGCAACACAAGCTAGATGAGCAGGTGAGACAATTGTGTTGCTGGGTATGTTGGTATTATGTAGTATCTCATGTGAACCTTGAGCTAGATCCATGATGCTAATATGGGAAAAGAACAATTTTAAAATTCACTTTTCAGCCTTTATGACATGCTTCATGTAACAATCGCAGAGTGATAGAGGAAATGGTGTCCAAGGAGTGTCATGTTTTTAATGCCTTGCTCAAAGACGCTTCAGCAGTTCTAAGGAAGTGAGATGGTATCTTAACCTTCGTCTTCCTCTGTCTGTATCATGTCCTTTGTATAAGACTAATTTATCCAATTGCATGTTGGAATTTGCAGAAATTACTCATACTAATCCAATTAAGTGCATGGAATTATTAGGAATAAAGAAATGGATTGATGTTCGTGTTAGTATTCGCAGTAGCTGCCATAATGTATCATTTACTTGTGTTACCACCCTGAATGTTAAATGTGTGTGAAGTATGGATGTCGGACCATGAGAAAAACCAAGCCAGCTTGCCTGAAAACATTGTAGCCGGGCGTTGTCGCATCACATGCACACCATGTGTTTGCATGCCCCCGCAGCACAAAGACGTCAGAGAGCTCAGCGAGAGACTAAATGCCGCGACCAAGACCCGAGATATGGAGAGAGAGCAACACTGCAGAGAGATAGAAAACCTTCAGAGATCCGAGCAGAAGGCCAAAGCCAAGGCAGAAAGGCTCCCTTCACTAATGGAGCAGCTCACCTTTCTTCAGCGCGAGCTGGAGAGCACTCGTAGTGAAAAGGAAGTGCTGGAAGATCAGAACAGCGTCTACAAGAAGCAGACACAAGAGGCGAGCGTCCTCCTTTTCTCTTATTTTAGTAGTTTGTCTTCACGGATGTTATGTCGTCGTTTGTGTCCCCAAATGTCAATGTTGAGTCTGCTGTGTACTGCTGCTATGACTTTGATACGGTTTTGTTGGAAGGAAAAAAAAAATTGCATGTGTTTCCTTCATATTTCTTAATATTTAACCCGGCTTGCATGCTTAACAACAGCAATACATGACTACTACTACGAAAATAATGAATAAGAAATGGAAATAAAATAATGTTGCCTGAGGATTTCACAAATCAGCAACATTTTTAGCTTGCCGTTAAAGTTCGTCATTTAACAGGGACACTGAGTTTTACAACAAAAACAATTGAACAAGTTATTATTTTATTTATTTATTTATTTTCCCATTTTGTCTCCTGTGTTGCCATTATTGACGAGACTCAATGTGCTCAGGTGGTAGAGGAGCTTAATATGAAGAATGGTTTGCTGACTGATGAAAAGGAAAATCTGAACAAGCTCATCCTGGAACAAAAAGAACAGTTGACAGGTAAAATGCAAATTCAAGTTTCAATGTGTTTCTAAATGACCAAAAACAATGAAACTGTTGTTCTCAGAAATTAACGCCCAGGTGGAAAGCACTGAAAAACTACAGAGAGAGTTAACTGAAGAGCGCTCCCGGTACCAAAACCTGCTGAGTGAACACCTGCACCTACAGGAGCTGCATAAAGACCTGAAGGAGGAACTGGAACTTAGGCTTGTGAGGCAGCTTTTTCTTTTATGTTCTGTGAGCGTTTTGTTTCTCACGATGGACCAAATTTAGTCAGCTTTGTCTACTTTTTTTTTTCCACTGACAGAGTCCAAGCAAAAGGCCGGACTCCAGCTATGACAGTAACTTGCCTGAATGCAGTCCAGTGATTGGCTCTACTAATGGACAGTACAGCTCAGTTCACAAAGCGGTAATGTACTGAACATGACCAAAAAAAAACCCAAAACATTATCTGTAACCCATCATGGTTTTCAGTTTTACCTTTGTTTATTTAGTCACATTGTTAGTCAATAAACTAGCTGAAAATTATTTTAGCCCAATGTCTACCTGAAGTGTGGAGATGGCCAATGGCCGACGTCTACTTGGGCTGCATTACTGATTTCTCTGTTATTATAGGATGAGACCCCCTCTACTGTAGAACTCCCACTCATTCTCAAGCTCCAGAGAAGAGTTAGAGAACTAGAGAGGGACAAACAATTTCTACAGCAGCAGTTAGATGAGAAGGAAACCAACGAGGAAGAAGCCAAGGCATGTTCTCAACACTTTTAGTCACGTGATACCTTCATGTGTGTAGTAGCTATTTTTGTTGTTGGTAATTTTTCAATGAAGGATTCGGAGGAGGAGATAACTGTTGGCAGAGCAGAACTGGATTTGGAAACGCTGAAGGTACAACACTGAATAACTGTCCCAAATAAGGAATGTCATACACAAACAAATATTTATACTACAAGTATCAACATTCGTAACATAAGGTTAAAATAATGATAATAATAATCAGAATAGAAGCACAATTACAGTACATACTGTACAATTTCCTGCATTATGTCAATGAAACAATTTCATTTAGCGCCAAGAGCTGGAGTCTGAAAATAAGAAGTTGAAGCAGGACTTGAGTGAACTGCGCAAGTCTTTAACCAGTGAGAACAGCGAGCTGATGCCCCCTGCTGTGGGCTCCACCACATACAACGTATTGCTGGAGCAACTCAACTCTTCTAACGAAGAGCTGGAATTGCGAAAAGAGGAAGTGCTTCTTCTCCAGTCACACATAGTGCGCCAAGAGGCTATGAAATACAAGGTCAGATTGAAATGAAATTGACATATTGGTTATTTCCTTCATTAGTTTTTCTAATGGGCTAATATTTTCTATCAACTGCCCATGCAGGACTCTGCGCTTGGAGAGGGGGTGAATTTAGACCTTAGTGATGTTCCCTCATTTCAAGACATTGACAGGTAAAAACCTGGACCTCCTAATCTTCCATTTAAATGTTAGTAAACAAGTGTCTTTTATGGTTTTTACCTGGCAGGTCCACTGACATCCATACATTGAATGAGGATGGAGAACTGTGGCTGGCTTATGAAGGCTTGAAGGAGACCAACAGGTGTTTTTGGTGTTGTTGTTTAATTTGATCAAACTACAAAGTACTTAATGCGTCATGGCTGGATTTACACTGCAGGGCTGATTTAATACTGAAACGTCTGATTTTCGCACATATTAAAACATACCGTTTAGGTATCCTGGTCTGATCTTATTAAAACACCCCTGAATTATGTTGAGATATTTTGCTTATTCAATGATTGGCCCATACCTAATTTTGCATGTTTCACAGTATTTATTTGTCCGTGCTTTTGTTGTATTTTAGATTAACTGTGGGTGTTTTTAGTATTTTTGTGTTGTCTGGGATATATATTTGACTATCAAACGGTGTACTCTGTTGATGTCAAGTTGGCGTTGACGAGATATAGTCATTTGGTGCAGTTACACTGCACTCGCGTTGGCAGATATCCGATGCCATATCTGGAAGAGGCCTCAATCCAATCTGTAGATAGCAGATTCCATTCAGTCCCCCCCCCCCCAAAAAAAATGAGAAAAAAACAGAATTGCTACTTGAAGCAGTGCAAATCCAGCCCCTGTAACTAGATGCTGTGACTTGAAATCCCAGGCTTCTGGAGTGCCAAATGCAGAAGCTGGAAAGGCAGCACAGTGAAAGTTATGAGAAACTGCGGACGGAGGTGAACACGCTCAAGCAAGAAAAGGAGCAGCAGGAGAAGCTTTTGGCTCAGACTTTGCTCCTGCCTGAAGACGCTCGCATTGAAGCGGGCCTGGAGCTCGAAATTACCCGGCTCACCCACGAAAATCTGGTGTGTATAACCTCTGGCTCTTGACAGATCTGTCATGATCCCTTCTATGGTGGTGTAATTAATAACAGACAATAATAGCATACATCCACAGCAGACACTATTAAATCATATCCAAATTAAATGCTCTATCAAAAATATTATTTTCTTGAAAGAAAATAATGTTCAGTTTTGATTTGACCGCTTTTAAACATTAATTGCATTGTTGCAGTTTGCAACAGCATAGAACTGCCCCACATGAGACTCGATAAGGTAACCACAATATCATTAACAGTGAAGTTGTACAACTCTACTTAAAATAATAAAGCTTGTTAAATTAGAAAAACAGAGTTGTGGACTATCGCATCGTAATTTATTCATATTAGGAAAATACAATGAACAGTGTACATCTACCTGTGAAACATTTCTAAAATATACAGATATCCACCTCTTTTTTTTTTTTTAACAACACTGTAGTGTTAGACAATCGCAATCTATAACATTATTACTGCCAGATTTGTAGGTAAGGCTACCTAATGCTAAGGCCAGTTTGTGATCTAAACAGGAAAAAAAAAGTATCTCAAAAGTAAAACTATTTATAAATATTTGTATTTCTCCCTTCCTTTTGTTTTACACTTGGGTGTGTATGGAAGTTGTGTTTATCCTGTCTCTAATCCAGTATGTCAACATATTTGCAGGAGCTCATGGAGCAACAGGACAAACAAGACAAGACTATTGTCAATTTGAAAAAAGATCTTCAGCTCTACATGAAAAGAGTAGAAGAGTTTCAAGGTAATCATGTCAAACTGAAAGCCACAGGCTGTTACAGTGCACTGTATAGTTGACTCATCAGTTTTGGATTGCCACTCAGGTGTGCAGTTATTTCGTTGATGTCACATTATTATAATGTACCTTTGGATCTTCCTTCATAAATGTTGGAAAAAAAATCTTACAAAAAATGTATTCAAACAAAACACTCTATTTCCATCCGAGTTGTGATGTGTTGCTCAAAGTGCATTCAAGATATTTTCACGCTGGTCAGCGCCTTGCGTCACGGAATATATTGCTATTGCTTTTCTAGTGACTGTAGTTTGTTTACTGCTTTTCAAGATGCATTTGTGTGATAACTTCCGCTCACTACACGTTCACACAGCAAAATGGCCATCTCGCTATTATATAGGGCACAACAGTATGTAGTGGAGCTGGTGTCTTTATTGAGCCAAGGCACCCATTTTACATTCCATACCACTTCCGGGGGGTGCTTGGGGGCTCTTGGGGAATGAAGTTTACACTTAATGTAAACATGGGGAGTAAAAACTTAAAGCCGTCAGGTGCTTCACTGTTCTATACTCTCTGTCAACAGTATATTCACTGATTATTCATGTTCCTTTCAAGCTCAACAAAGGAAAACGTACCTTGAGACAAATTCTTCTGCCAAAGCAGTGAGCATACCTCGCAAGGAGAGAGAGTACCAGGGAATGTTGGAGTACAAAGAGGGTGAAGAGAGCCGCCTTGTTAAAAGTTTGGTTTTAGGTATGGCAAACTTTTCTTGCATGAGTCCATGATTGCTTCACGCAACATGTAGAAATGCCTGAATGTGAAAATGCCGTGCCTAATGGTGCTGCCCGGAACTTTTCATTTCAGACCAGAAGGCCCGTGGTGTCGCTGTCAGCTTCCTTCCTGGCCTTCCTGCTTACATCATCTTCATGTGCCTGCGATACGCTGACAGGGTTAACGACGATCAGCGAGCCAGCACACTGCTCAATTCTGTGCTCTGCAGCATCAAAGGAGTCATTAAGGTTCAGTATAATCAATAATTAATGTCCACGTCATTAAGTACGCATGTGCGTATGATGCAGGACCTTATTAGCTCCAGAACTGATTGCTCATTACAAGAAAGGTGAATTTTTTTTCAAGAAAGTGTGCGTTTTACTCATTCTGTGAAAACAAGGCGCAACATATTTGGATTTTCTGAGGTTGATGCTTACCGGGAGATTTGGCAAAATAAAATTCCGATTAATTAAAAACAAAACAAAAAAATCGGCTGACCAATTTAGTTGGCTGATATACAGTATGAGAGAGAGAGAGAGAGAGAGAGAGAGAGAGTATATAATGCTCACTTTTGACCATCTGTTGGAAAAATGCTGTATGTGCATAGTAACCTCTAAGTATAATGCAGTTCAATTTACATACTGTACCTACAATATCATTGTGATATTGTTACATTAATGTCTTCAGATGCATCTTCAGCATCAACATTGAAATTGTGAGACAAAGGCACAGAAGTTGCTGTTGTGAATTTACATTCGAAGGTTTAGAGAAGATCAAATTAAGACACATTTTGTGTTCGGCCTAAAATTTCATCCAATACCCTTATCTTTTTATGAGAAGTGTACACGGTAATTAGACCCTTTTGGGAAATTGTGCTGTTGCCTGTATGTGACACCAGTGATTGTATATTTTATTGTTGGTGTTGTTTCTATAGAAGCGAGGAAAGGATTTTGCCGTGTTGTCCTTCTGGTTATCCAACACAAGTCGACTAATTCACTGTCTGAAGCAGTATAGTGGAGACGAAGTAAGCACGAGTCCATTATGAGGCGGCTGAGTTCCACTGAAAAACACATTTGACTATTTCTGCAAAACCCCTTTTGCAGACGTTCAAGACGTATAACACTGCGAAGCAGAACGAGCATTGCCTGACCAACTTTGAACTGACGGAGTACCAGAATGTGTTTGCAGACCTAGCTATCCATATTTATCGCCAGCTCATCAAAAGCATGGAGGACACCCTGCAGCCCCTCATAGGTGAGGTGAAGGATCCCACATGCACGTATGCATTTATCCGAAGCCGCCTGACCGTGTTTGACATGTGCAGTTTCAAGCATGTTGGAGCATGAGACAATCCAGGGGGTTCTGGGCTCCAAGCCGACAGGTCTGAGGAAAAAGAGCTCGGGTTCCCCAGAGGAAGACGCGGTTACCGTGGAAGTCCTCCTGCAGCAACTTGGACTCTGGCACACCACTATGATGCAACATGGGATGGACTCTGGCCTCATTAAACAGGTGGTTCGGCAGCAGTTCTACATCATTTGTGCTGTCACCCTGAACCACCTGCTACTCAGGAAGGACATGTGCTCATGGAGCAAAGGGCTGCAGATCAGGTAGCTACCCGTTGCTTTTATCTGCTGACATTTTCACAATAAAACATTGTAGAGCCAAGCTGACACTGTATTTCTCAGGGACAATATAGAATTCAACTATACACTCATGAGATCGACATGCACAAATAAGACTGGATGCTCAGATGAGAGAAATTGTGATTATAGATGCCATCGTACGGTTTACTTTCCCAGGGTATGGAATAAAAGTCAACCTTCATGGCTTAATGACTGGGACTAAACAAACATGCACAAAGAGTAATTCACGTTCCTTTTTCAAAATTCAACACACCACAGAGAAGAGTGTCAACAACCTTGCCAAATTTTAATGATTTAAAAAAAAAGAAAAAGCAATTGTTATCGGTACGTAAAATGAGTCTTTAAAATTAGAAAAGGTCTAGATGTTCTCATAGATTTCAAACGCTGCGCTGCGGGAGTTTCAACTGAATGCGCTGAAGCTACGCCCTGCTCAACTCTCAAATCAAATACCGCTTGTATAATCTGGAAGAATTGATTCGACCTCAGTGAGCAACGTTCTTATGCCTACACATAACGACAGGTTTTCACCACAAAAATATATCCATGTATTCAATATATACTACCGTTTGTTGCTCTTCTTTATTTCTATGAGGAATGCGTGCACTCATGAACAATGAGGCTCTCTGAAGAGGCCAGGCCAGACCAAAGCCCTGGCTGCGAAGTTGGATTTTGCGAAGCATTTTATACCCCTTGTCCTTGCTCTTTTTCACGCAATTCTTTTTCTATTCCCACTCAAGTAATTATTTGGAGGACTACTTGAGTTGTATTTTTCTACTTCTACTTAAGGACTATTTTTGGTTACTCTACCCACCTGGTCACAAAATAGACAATAGTTTGCAATTAATGTCTGACCTTTTTATGTGTGCACAGTGGAACACACCCTGACCTGTTTCCTGGTTGCCTCTGTGTTCAGGTACAATGTGTGGCAGTTGGAGGAATGGCTGGCGGAGAGGGAAATGGCCGACTGTGGCGCCAAAGAAATGTTGGAACCTCTCGTACAAGCCGCACAGCTGCTGCAGGTCAAGAAGAAGACTGAGGCCGACGCTCAGGCTATTTGCAACATGTGCACGGGCCTCACGACTGCACAGGTCGCTCATCAGTCCATGTTTTTCATGTGATACGTCACTATTGTTTTGATCATCATGTGTTCTTCCTCACAGATTGTGAAAGTGCTGACACTTTATACACCAGTGATCGAGTTTGAAGAGCGCGTGACAACCACATTCATCGCAACCATTAAAGTGAGTTGCTGTGACCCAAACGTGTGCAAAAGTGTAGTGCTCTTTTATGGTCCTCAAATTATTAACTTGTTCATTTTTGGACCTTTTATAGGACATCTTGAAAGACAGAGAGGAGTCGTCCACACTGATGATGGATGCCAAGAAAATCTTTTCTGTCACGCTTTCTTTCTCACCCTCCTCTGTGGCGCTGGAGACCATCCAGATCCCTGCAAGCCTAAATTTGGATTTCCTCAACCGTATATAGAGCCAGCCTTTGACAGTGTTTTGCTGTTTATCATGTGTGGTTTTCAATTTGTACCTAACTTTTGTATTCACGTGCCAAGTAAATATAAAAAGTCAGTTTAAGGAAATATGATCTGGGGACTTAGCAGTATATGTTTAGTGAATAAGCAAGAGAAATAATATAATTATTGACACTACATAATTTTGTAAAGGATTGAACATAAAGTAATTGAAATGTTGAATGTGACAACCAGTTATTAAATATATCAGTTTGTTTTTTTTTAAGTCTGTCTGACATTCTGATGATTGTCGTTCTCATGCTGTCATTTTTATTTATGTCATTACAAGCATTACTTTATAAATCGGCTCATTCATTCAGGAAATGAACATGACAAATGTTATCAGACAGGTTCGTACAGTCCAAAACTGATCTGCTTGTCTGTGGCCAAACACATTTTTTTTTTTTTTTTTTAATCTTCAAACCAAAATCTCTCAAAAGTTTGTTTTGTAGCATATTATTTAATAAGCCAACTTTACACAAGGAAATACATTAAAATAGAAAATCAATCACCATTTGGTACTACAATATGGTCACGTGAAGGTACTTTTTGTCACCGTGTGAATTGAATTAGACTTCCTATTACTTTCTGTTAATCTCCCAAGTAGCTTTTATGGAATTTGTATCCGGATTCTTTCGCTTTGGATCCTTGAACAAACGAGCGCGCGTCACAAGACAGGTGGGTGGAGTCTTCTGTCACAGAAGCAACAGGTGAGAGGCTCCCGCCGGCAAAATCAAGCTAGCAAGGAGGAGAAGATACAAACCAGCGGTGTAAAACTCGGCTTTTTCAAAATAAAATCAATCAAATTGAACATTGCCAAACAGCATATTTCAGTTGCGAACCATTCCGCGCTTAAAATTCATTCATGAATTGAACGCCGATTGAATACGATCACACGCTGATAAATCCAATGGAGAAAAAACAATTTTGCATGAAACCAAATTTGGTCTCCACTTATTTTGACAAGCCAACCGGACATGCCATTTCATTCCTACCTTAAATTATGAATTTTGTCATAGTTGAGTTAACCCAGGGACCAAAAAAATGTCGGTCACTTCGGAAGTACAATTCAGATGATGAAAACATTTTTTCGACATTAGGGTTTACAACAATAACGCTAAAATATGGCGTTGATTCAGCTATACACGCGGGTAAGAAAAAAACTACAAATTATTACGCCATGTCGCAAATTATGTGTTTGTAATACTACTAAAGAGACATATGGTTACTTTGTAAATCATTTTGGAAAGCAAAAATGCTCTGGCAAATTAACTATCACTGTATATATACTGTCACACAACAACCAACATGTTATTTTCCTTCTTATGCAAGTGCAAGTAAAGGGAAAATATTTAAAGTGGGAAATATCGACGTGTTACAAATGTTTTAAGGTGTAACTTTGCATTTACACTCCAGTACAACAGAGTGTGGATTCCAGATGATGAACATGTGTGGAAATCAGCAGAGATCGTGAGAGATTTCCATTATGGAGATGATTGTTTACAACTGCTACTGGAAAATGGCACAGTAAGTGAAATTGACAAAATTCATAAACACGTGTTGTTGAATAAGATAACCAGACACATACATAAACTTTATCTCTTTCTTAAAGGAGCACAAGTACATCGTTGACTCGTCGCCACCAGAACTCCCTCCTCTTCGCAACCCAGACATCTTAGTTGGGGAGAATGATCTCACTGCGCTCAGCTACCTCCATGAACCTGCTGTCCTGCACAACCTTAAAGTGCGCTTTCTGGAATCCAGAATCATCTACACCTACTGTGGTAGGCGCAGAAGGAATGTTTTGTTTCACTTGTGTTAGCTCTGAGGTGTTGTTTTCACCTGGCTTGTCTTGCCTCTCCTCTGCAGGCATCATCCTGGTGGCGTTGAATCCCTACAAGCAGCTTCATATCTACGGAGATGCAATCATTCACGCATACTCTGGTCAGAACATGGGCAACATGGATCCTCATATATTTGCAGTGGCAGAGGAGGCTTACAAACAGCTGGCCAGGTGAGCAAGAGCACAGACAAGAGGAATTTTAACAAAATGTGTTATCAACTAACTTGGCAAAATATGGAATAACATGACAAAAACAAGACACCCCCACCCAAAAAAAAAAAATAATTACATTACTTTTCGTGAGAATCTAAATAACGCACAGGTGTGAAACCCAAGCCCCGGGGACCAGATCCGGCCCACAACATCATTTTATATATCCCGCAAAAGCATATCATGTGTCGACTTCATGTTTCTTGCAAATTAGGGATGTTCACACGGCAAACTTTTACTCCGGTGCAGCACCGAGGCTGCCCCCATACAGCGTTCACGCGTACAAAGTTACACCGGTGTAGCCCGTGAAAACAGCTTAAATCGGAGCAAATTTAACCCTGCTCAAGGCGGTGGTTTAAAAATTTACTCCGGAGTATATGCTCGTTTGCGGGGCAGCACCGATATAAAATCGGATGTGTGAACGCTACTGGGGTAGACTCGCTACGACACATGAGAAGAGTTGATTACATACGGGTATTGAATGCGTTGTTTACGTGTGAATGGCCCACAAAATTTACACCGGTGTAAGATATATCGCAACAAAGTACGTCGGTGCAGCACCGATGCAGATGTGTGCCGTGTGAACACCCCTATTGTCTTCACTTTTAATAACTCTGAGATATGGGCTGAAAACTATTGCATTTAAAATTTAATTAAAAACTGTACTTAAATATCTGTAAAAATAATCACATTAAATATAGCTCTACTGTAAAAAGTTAAATACAATTGAACTGTACTGTGCTTGAAGAGTACAAAATGTACTGTGCATAAAAGTTTAACCAGGTTGTATCTGTTTCATTATATTGTTTTAAATGTTGTTTGTATTTAATGTATGTTTTTTTTTTTTTTTTTCCATGACTGATACTCGTGCCACACTTCTCCACTCAGTTACATTGATTATAGTATTGGTACAACAAATGTTATGGGTCTTAAGAGTTTTACACATGGTGGAGTGTTGGTTGCCCTTCAGTAAATATATGAAACTGGTCAACTTTTATGTGGATGTATTCATTAGTCCAGATCCACTATGAAAGAATACATATCCATTATTAAAAACTGAAATTGGTATATCATATACCGGTATATATATATATATATATAAAATTATTGTTATTATTAACAGTTAACAATTTTTTGTTGTCTTGACCAGAAACCATAAGAACCAATCCATCATCATCAGTGGAGAGTCTGGAGCTGGTAAAACAGTGTCCGCTCGGTATGCTATGAGGTATTTTGCTGTTGTCAGCAAATCTGGCAGCAAGACCCAAGTTGAAGACAAGGTTCTGGCGTCCAATCCCATAACAGAGGTAACAAACGCTTTGGTCGTGTTCAGTCAATGTCACAGTGATGATGGCTGATGTGTCAAACTTGCTTGACTTTCTCTCAGGCCATTGGGAATGCAAAGACGATCAGGAACGACAACAGCAGCCGTTTTGGGAAATTCACTGAGATCAGTTTTGACAATAGGTATCGAATAATTGGTGCAAACATGAGGACTTACCTGTTGGAGAAATCCAGAGTTGTTTTCCAGGTAAACAACTGGATATTCTGGTTAATTATCCTCCTATACTGTCTCACATGTGTGACGTTGTTGCTTTCAGGCTGAGTCTGAGCGGAACTATCACATATTTTACCAACTGTGCGCCTGTGCGCATCTGCCACAGTTCAAGGCACTGAAACTGAGTACGTTTGTGAAGGTTTGAGACAGAATCTCACTGCTGTACCGTTTGTCCATATATGTAATGTTTAGTTGTTTTTTTTTCTGCAGTGAGTGCAGATGAGTTCCACTACACAGGCATGGGTGGCGATATCATAATTGAAGGTGTGGATGACAGGAAAGGCATGGAGGAGACTCAGCAGACCTTTTCACTTTTGGGTAAAGCATGCTTTAGATGGAGTCAAATTTATAATTGCACAACAGTGCTGCATAATATTTACATAATAATTTTGTAATAATAATATTTATATAATATTCACTTGACCTCTTTGTGGTTGTTTAGGGCTGAAGGAGGACTTTCAGTCTGATGTTTTCAAAGTTCTTGCAGCCATTCTCCATCTGGGAAATGTGGAAATCAAGAGCTCCGGGGATGATCGGTCGTCCATTTCTGTGAGTCTTGTTTGTTTTTTAGGCCTTACTTACCGCGGCGACAACATTAAGGTACACCTGCACAATCCAATGCAAGAGTTGTATTGAAAGATGGAAATCTGCCTTCACAAATATGCGCGCTTTGGATTTTAACTGTTAATAGTTGTTAAACTACAACCACAACAATGAGCAAAATGGCATTCAAATCAAAAATTGTATTCATGCTTATCATCTTTGAAAATGTTTATGTTGTTCTCTATTGGATCTTATATTCAGTTTGTGAGGGTGTACCTAATGATGTGAACTGTTTTACAATTGTTGTCTTTTTTTATTGACTTTCAGAACAGCGATTCACATCTGCACATCGTCTGCGAGTTGTTGGCTGTGCGTGCAGACGACTTAGTGCGTTGGCTGTGCAATCGGAGGCTTGTCCTGGTGGCCGAGACGGTGGTGAAACCGTTGCCCAAAGACCGTGCAGTGAATTCCAGAGATGCTCTCGCCAAACGGACCTATGCTCATTTGTTTAACTGCGTTATTAACAGGATCAACAAAGCACTGCAGGTCCCAGGGAAGCAACATGCTTTCATAGGGGTGCTGGACATTTATGGGTAAGGGGGAAAAAAAGTGTTCTTCTGATTTTCTGTCTCTTCATTATTTCTTCATCTCAACTTTCATTATGCGCTCCTCAGCTTTGAGACGTTTGACATCAACAGCTTTGAGCAGTTTTGTATCAACTATGCCAATGAAAAGCTTCAGCAGCAGTTTAACTTGGTTTGTATCAACCCAAACTAGCACAAAACCCGATCCACTCCTCTTGATGGAGGACCTATTCATGCTTTTCTTTTTCTATCCAGCATGTGTTCAAACTGGAACAAGAGGAGTACATGAAAGAAGACATTCCATGGACGTTAATAGATTTCTATGACAATCAGCCAGTCATTGACTTGATTGAAGCCAAAATGGGAATCCTGGACTTGCTTGATGAAGAGTGTTTGGTACAAAAGACTTTTCAATCACTACGATTAATGGGTGCTTACTTTTTCAATCACATGTTTTCAAATACAAATATGCTATTTTCTTTAGT